TTACCCCGGAACAAATTAGCATTGCCCGGTTCTATCAGTTCTATAGACACCGTGCAAACTGACAACTAGCGCTCTGGGGAGATAATGTACATACTAATCGATAGCAACAAATATGCGTGGATAATACATTCATGCAGTAAAACCGTTGTACTGTATTGTATGTAATTCACTACATTCAAATATTACGTCAATTCTGATTGTACCTTGGCTTAACACAATATGCACTGTATATCAGGACTGATCAGTTCTTTGACCCATATGTGGGTCACACTAAACCTATTTTATCTGTCCATGATCCACATGTGGTTCATTCATACATTTACCTATTTATACATTATTTATATTTTTTTCGACTACATCCTATGAAACTTATAATAACCTTGTTGAACTGGTGAGATGATAAGCTTTCTAAAGCTTATCAATTTTCAATAGGGACCACGGACTATGATTAACAGGACTGGAAACGAACCTTTATCATTTGATACAGATCTGTTACGGAAAGTCAATGAGCGATTGTAGCGCTATCTATTAGTTTTATATTATAAAATTGAGTAAGTCACTGAATACAGTAAAATCCAAATACAAAATACTATTAAGTATTAAATATATAAAATAATTTAATACAACTATTAAAGATCCAAAATATGTAATTTTAACATAAAATTTGATTTGAAAAAAAATCATCAGGTATATAATTTTATTCAAAATCTGGTTTTTAATTAATAGTGCACTTTCTTAAAAAATATGTATAATATTAAACCATAGATATTGAGTTATTTTTCAACTTATTTAAGTTTATTAATTGTTATAAACTTCACATAGTACCTATTAGTGAACATCTTATATTTATTTTATTGTGTTAAATGAATAAACTAATGTACATAATATCAAATGTTTTAAACTATAAAGTACAAAAATTAATAATGAATAAAAACAAATTATTATTTTTAAAACTATAATAGTATAATTTAGTAATTATTTAACAATTTTATGATGTAGTTAATTCACTTAATTTTTTTTTTTTACAAATGTTTTTTTTTTTTGTCGATTTTGCATAGCACAATACTGCCGCATTCGCATTCTTACGTAATAAATACTTATAGTTTTGACAATTTCTGAAGAATGAATATCACATGGGAATGTAATTGTATAATTATCCAAAAGATAATTTAGAGTTAATTGAAATACATCAATATCTGTACAGTGCATAGTGAAGCCTTTTTCTAAAACTAAAACCAAATTGAAAACATGAAAATTAGGGTAAATTAGTTTTCCATTTGACTTTAATAGTGTTAAGGTTCCTTCTGGTATATTAGATGATTCAGTAGAACCTTTCAAAGTTTCCAAACAAATATTACAATTTGTAGATTTAAATATTTTTCTACACATATATCCACACACATAATAAATAACACAACTTATGTCTTATAGTAGATGCTTGGAAATAATTGTGGTCTTCAAATACAGATTCTGGTTCTCAGTTACCTTCTTGTATCAATGTATCAAGTTTTAATTTGAAATTCGAAACTTTACTAGTACTTGTAGAAACAGCTGTATCATTACTGATACACACTGAAAATGTTAAAAAAAAAAATATACAGAATGAAATATTTAAAATATAAATACAAAAAAATTAATTTTAATTTACATTTAAGCCATCACAATGAAATTTATCAATAGCTTATATTATTTTAACTTTATGAAATATTATTTACCAGTATCACTAAATATTTCTTTTACATCTGTAATAGATATTTTAGGAGAAGACGAATCCAAGATTTTACAGTTTCCAGTTTTAGGAGGTTTTAAAACAGAATACAGAGACAACATCTTATATACTTGAAGAAATGTGGGAGTTGAAGGGTGATCATTTGGCCCGGTTTCTTGACTTATTGTGCCAAAAAACACATGAAAAAATGTTATTAGTATCCAGGAATAAACTATACTGTTTATAGTTTCTTTTATATTTAATAATACAATGAATAATACATTTATTAATCTGCAATAACTGTTAAAAATAATAATATAATATTAATTTCACCTCAATTTGGTCCTGGTTAAATTTATTACTGAGAACATAATATGTTGTCGAGTTGCGATTCAGCGGTCATAGTGTAGTGTTCTCGTGCGTTATCGCGGTTTCACTATCGTGTGACATTCATATATCATTTAATAATTTCTACTGTAATTAATAAATCGTATTTTATACTTAATATTACGTATACGGAAACGTTTTAATATAAGTTGAATATAATTATTCGTTATAATTATGGCTAATTCTCCAGTTACTATCGACAAGGATTCCAATACTAAAATTAATCAACTCGTGGATATGGTAAAGGACTTGAAAAACCAACAAAATAAAATTGTCGTATCTTTAAACTCGTATCGTGATGCTATTAAGGCGCAAGAAAAAAAAATCGATCTACTATCTACTCAGTTAACTGAAGTCCTGGATGATAATAAATCATTAAGGATAAAAGTTGAACAACTTGAAACTAAATTATTGGATATAGAACGTACTCAAAATACCGAACCATTGGGTGCTACGGCTCAGGAAAAAGTTTATTCTGAACTTTTGGATCGTCAATCTCGAGCACGCAATGTAATCTTGTTTAATGTTCCCGAACCTTCTGTACCAGATCAATCACAAGATACTTCAACTGCCAAGGATATACTTAACACCATCGGTGTACAAACTATTCCAGTGTCTATTCATCGATTAGGTAAACTCTCAAATAAACCTCGTCCACTACGTGTCACTCTTCCTAACTCATCTGACGTCTTCGAAGTTTTAAGAGTGAAAAGGCAACTACTAAATGTAAGCAATCTAAATGCTATTCGAATTTCATCTGATCAAACCCTGCAGCAACGTAAATATTTTGCATCTACTATGGCTGTATTGAAAAATCGGAGGGATTCTGGTGAAAGCGATTTATTTATTAAATATATAAACGGTTTGCCGACTATCTTAAAAAACGACAGAGCAAACGCAAAATTTTAAATAATTTTTCAGTTAGAACGTACGTGGAATTAATACCAAACTAGATATATTTACCCGTAACCTCGCACTCTCTAATTATGATATTATTACCTTATCTGAAACCTGGCTATCAAACAACGTTAATAACGCAGAGCTTGGACTCTGCACCAATTACCAAATATTCCGTTGTGACAGATGTGACATACGCGGCGTCGACATAAGAGGTGGAGGTGTGCTTATAGCAGTCAATAACAAGTTCCACAGCCGTCTACTATCTCTACGTGATAATTCAATTGAACAACTGTATATAGAAATAAGTATTAATAATTTTTCACTAATAATTGGAACAGTGTATTTTCCGCCTCGCTCGGACTCTACTATGTACAAAGATCATTTCGATCTTATAGATAATCTCATGTGTAAAAACCCTAATTCTAAATTTTTAATATTGGGTGATTATAACCTCCCGAATATTAAATGGACTTCTATAAATAATAATATTACTCCCCATTTGTCTTATATTAATAATTTTGACTCAAATATTTTAACTAATCTATCATATATCAATTTAAATCAACATAATCTAGTTTATAATCTTTCTGGTTCAATGCTGGATCTAGTTTTTTCGAATATCAATAATGTAAACGTGTCCTCTGTAATTAATCCTCTTGTACCCTTAGATCGAATGTATCATCCGGCATTATTAATTAAAACAGCTGTCCTATTATCTCAACCTTTAAGCTATAAAGAACAAATTTATGACTTTGTTCACTGTGATTATAATGATATTAGGTCGCGTATTGCCTCCGTAGATTGGAATGGAATATTCAATGAATTAAATATTAATGATGCAGTTAATATTTTTTACGAACATATTTTTAGAATTATAAATTCATCATGTCCAAAAAAATATTTGTTTACGCCAAGATATCCTATATGGTTCAGTAAAAAGTTAAAATGGTTGACATTAGAGAAAAAAATTGCACATATAGTATACAAGCGATCTCCAAACCAATTTCATTACAACCAATTCTCGAATATACGTGCTCAATGTAAGTCACAAAATAATTATGATTATAAAAACTACATTTCCAATGCCCAAAATGCTATAAGTAATAATCCTAAATTATTTTGGAAATTTATTAATAATAAACGATCACATGCATTTCTTCCAGAATCTATGACTTACAATAATAATAATCACTGTGGTGGTACTGAAATCTCCAACGTCTTCGCAAAATTTTTCTCTAGTGTATTTAACAAACCAACTATTCTAAACCCAATTCCTAGTATTGAAAATATTAATTTGCTCTCGGTAAACTTTAATAAATGTATATTAACTATAAACGACATATACAATGAAATCAACCACATATGCACTAAATCCTGTCCTGGTCCTGATGCAATACCTAGCACATTTTTTACTGAATGCAAATTCGTTCTATCCATTCCGCTACTTCATTTATTTAACCTATCTCTCTCATCTGGGGTTTTCCCAGACAGATGGAAAGTAAGTAGTATATCTCCAATTTCGAAAGGAGGGGATAATACTCAAATAACAAATTATGGTCCCATTTCTATAACTTCAGTTATTCCAAAAATGTTTGAAAGTATTATATCTAAAAAACTTATTCCAATATTTAAAAATATAATTATTGACGAACAGCACGGTTTTATGTCAGGTAGGTCAACTAGTACCAATATTCTTGTATTACAACATTATATATTAGATGCGTTTAAGGCAGGACATCAAGTGGATGTTATATACACGGATTTTTCAAAAGCATTTGATAAAATTGACCATGATATCTTATCCGCTAAACTATACAACTTAGGTATACGAAATCCATTCTATTCATGGTTAGTGTCTTTTTTAACGGGCAGGAAACAATATGTCAAAATTAAAAATTTTAACTCAAGTATGTATGATGTAAGTTCAGGTGTCCCTCAAGGGTCTCATCTTGCTCCATTACTATTTAACATTTTCATTAATGACATTAAACTTACCAACTCCCATATGTTGCTGTTTGCTGATGACCTCAAATTATTTCGTATTATTAAGTCACCGGACGATGCTGTACTACTTCAAAATGAAATAAACGTCCTCTCGAATTGGTGCAGCAAAAACAACTTACTTCTAAACGTTTCTAAGTGTAAAGTATTAACTTTTTCTAGAAAACGAGAAAAATATATTTATGACTACCTCTTATATGAATCTGAACTCACTCGCGTTTATAAGAATAGTGATCTAGGCATAATCTTTGATGAATCTCTAACATTTAATGAGCACTACTTGTATATTCAAAATAAAGCTTCATCTATGCTAGGATTTATAAATCGAAGCTGTAAAAGTTTTAACAATCCATATACATTAAAAGCTTTATATTACTCGTATGTAAGATCAATTTTGGACTATGCCTCTATGGTTTGGTCCCCTAGTAGAATTGGTCCGATACGCGCAGTAGAGTCAATACAAAATCGATTTTTGAGATTTCTATCCTTTAAGTGCGACATTCAGCGTCAACCTCATTCTTCCTACTTACCAATATTAACAATTTTAAATATGGAATCACTGGAGATAAGAAGGAAAAGACTTGACCTGTGTTTTATTTTTAAATTACTTAATGGACAAGTTTATTGTCCATGTTTAATTTCAATCTTAAGCTTTCTGGTTCCTAATCAAAGTACTAGACAAATAAATACGTTCTATGTTCCATTACAATCTACTAACTATGACAAAAACGCACCTATGAATCGATGTATGGAATTAGTTAATACATATAATGTAGATTTATTCTTGTGTACAAATGTTGAATTATTTAAAATATATTTAAATAATTTATTAATATAATATGTATTTATCGAACCTAGTACCTAACTAAGATGTGTATCCTATTATTATAATATATGTTTATACTATAATTAGCCAACGACCTTAATATTATTATTATTTGTATTTATTACCTATTAATTTGTATTACTCGTCTCTAGTCTATAAGAAATTATTTTATAACTGTAAACTACATCGACCATTTTTCTTATGTATATTTCTATTGGGCATCCGCCCGTCCATAATAAATAAATAAATAAATAAATAAATAATGGTACCCACATTCACTCAGTAAATATTTAGACAAATCTATAGTTGATTGCAACGTAACTCTTAGGCCTTCAGCAGTTGGTTGAGTAAGAAATTCATCATCAGATATTTTACCATCTTTATTATTTTGCTCCCAAATATTTAACCAATTGATCGTGCTTTCCAAAACCTTTTTTTAAAAAAGTTAATAAATTATTGTGAACCAAAAAGTTTTAAACTTAAAACTAAAAATTCATGTTCTGTATTATAAAGTGTACCTATTTACCTCAAAATCCCTACTATTTAACCTAATTCCTTCATTTTTGTGTCTTCTATTTAATGCATCAAAAGTGTCATTAAATCTTTTAACAAAGTCTTGAGTCTCTTCACTTCCTTGAAGGCTTATACATTTCCGGTTTCTATAAAATTCCAAAGCATTAGCCATTGAATTACTCAGAACCTAAAACATATTAATATCAATTTAACACAAATTACAAATTTTAACATAATATGTTAGTATTTAAATTACTTGAGTGGCTAATTTAACACTCATTTTGGATAAAGTATCCAGATTTAAATGCCTCATGGTAATTTTTGGACAAACTCTTAAATTAATCTGGCCATTAATGTCATTAATTGTATCGATTTTATGCATTTCCACAAAATGAAACCAACTTATACATTTTTTAGTATCACATACCTATTATTTTTAAATAAATATTAATTAATAAATAAAAACAGATTTTAATTAGTTGTTAAAAAATATAGTTTTTATTAATCATACATTCATACGTTTAAATACTTATTGTTATGTAAGCGATTCCTTACTGTTTTAATTAAGTGTGGAGCATCACTAAAAACATAAACTTTTCTTTTGTCACTAAGCGGATGCATAAAATAGTTTTTAGACTCTTCCAATTGTCCACTAACTCCAAATTCTTTCCATAACTTCCTATTAGTGGATGCACCATCACTAACTAAACCATCTACCTTAGCACCAGAATTTTCAAGCAAACAAATAGCTTTAATGACAAGCTGGGCTAGTATATAACCTTAAAAAATATTAAATAATTTACATTTAAATAAACTATAGAACGTGATTCAAATGTGGTAATGTTTTTGTATAAATATACCTTTAACTGGTCCTTTTGATGTAAATACGGCAATTGGTTGAGAGAAATTAGCAGCATAGCTTTGAAACATGAAGACTGAAGCATGATCAGCTTTTTGGCCATAATGTTCACAAGGCATATCATTACCATAATCTTCTAATCCACTGTAAGTTAGAGTAGTACTATTTACAGAAATGCTTGTCCTTAGCGAAATTTCATCAAAAATTAAATTGCCGTGCTTTTGCTGATCATTTAATATGGATATTTTTTTTGTTAGTAATAAAAAGAATTTTTTATCAAATCCGCACTGATTTTGAACCAACGAAAGATAATTTCTTACAGTTTTAGGGCATGGCAAAGGTAATATTTCTTGTACACGTAAAAAAGAATATGCACTGGGAGATCTGACATAAGTATAATAACATGATTAATTTAAGAACATATTATAAACAAATTATAATTAAATTAACTGAAAACAATGGTTTTACCTAATATGAAATAAAATACACAGTAATATCCAATTCTCAGAATATCTGCGATTTCTGGATTTAACCGAGCTGGTTTTTATAATTTCATTTATTAGAACTTTCTGTGGTTCATTCAAATTTGCATTAGTTAGTAAATTATCAAAGGTTATACTTTCCATTTTTTTTTGCAAATTTCCAAGATTATTAATTATTTTTTTTATAGTATTCTTAAGTCTACAAAGAAAACAAATATTAATTGATATATTACAGACATATATACGTAACTTATATCTTACCTAAAATTAGATACTTGTAATTTTTGTTTTTGTTTTACTATGGTTGACAAAGAACGTTTTCTATTAGGCGTTAATGTTTGAGAAATATTTTTTTTCACATTGCCACGTATATATCTTGATTTATATACTCTAAATATTGCGAAAAGTTGTTCACATTTTTTACACCTATTAACACCAAGTGACTATGACAATTGCACAATTATAGTGATGCCATGTGCCATGATTTAGTTTTGCACTTTTGACTGAAATACCTAAAAATAAAAATAATTTAATAAATAAGGTAATAATTGGTAATAATTTTTGTGACATTGAATAAGGTAGTAAAATACTAAATACTTACCTGAAAAATTAATTGCTTTTGGACCACCAATGCATATACTTTTCTTATCAAACAACATTAATAAATTAACAACTTCCTCAACGTTATTAAGTCCAACTTCAAAACTTTTCAAGTTAAAATTTGAGGGTTTCAATTCAACATTTAAAGCATAACATGAAACTTGAAAATTATGTAGGATAATTATTTGTTTTTCAACAGTAGCCTTAGGAATATCATCGTTTTGAATTTTCATTGAAAAAAAGATTAATGTAGTTTCATTTTGAATGCAATTCCATCCAGTTGGAAGGTTAATAGATTTTAATTGTTTGAAAAATGTAATAAACTGCAATTCCTTGATCTAATAAAAATACATTTTGAATAATGTGTTATAAAACAAAACATTACATTTATTGGAATGAAATATGACATAGTATTAGATGCATTTACCTGATGGTTGTCAGAATTATTAAAAGTTTGAAAATTCCTATGGAAAGAACTATTATTGTCAGACAGAGACGCCTGCATTTCCAGAGAATTACAATTTGAATTTATGCTACAGTCAATTGGTGTACTGCAATTTCAATCAAGTTTTTTACGACATAGTGGAGTCTGTAACAAATTAATAAAAAAAATGCAATATTTATAGATATAATATAATAGGCTGTCTAGCGTCCCATTTAATTGGTCAATAATTGTTCCAATACATTTGTTTGAAACTTTTAATATACAGTTTAAAATATTCAATCATTATTGATCAAAAAATAAAATTTAAATATTAAAGTTACCTAGTACCTAATCTATTAATTTAAACATTAAAAAAAAAACATGTTTTTTCTGTATTCACTCCCAATACTGTGTAAGTAATTTAATATTTATATAATGGAAAAACTAGATGATTTTCATACCTCTGTGCTGAATTGTGGCCTTGCAAATATAGGTGTAATTTCTGAGCAGTCATCAGAGTTTTCGTCTACAGTATTACCAAATAATGATGGCACAGCACCCTTTTTTAACTAGGAAAACAATAAAATATTAGGTAGTAAAGACTTATCAATTATAATAGTATCAATTTAATAATTTCAAAATAATATGATACATAAGGAAGATTTTCCGGTAAGTATAATAAACATTTCAAATATACTTACTTGGTTCATTTGGTGATCAGAAACATCATCTGGCCAATTTACATAGGTTCGAACCAAATCATCATTTTTAAAATGCAATTCACATACTTTTTTCACAGCAGTAACTTTTTTATTATTTTCATAAATTACCTTATTCCATAATTCATTTAATATGGGGTCAGCAGGTACAGAAAATAGAGTACATTTTCTAAATGTTTTGTCATGACTCTTACAATTCAATACTGAGCACTTATAGACCATTTTAAAATATATTAAGATATTATACACCTCGTCACAGTTGGTATTTAATATAACACGTAATATTTTCCAATGAATACGGATGAATGGTAATTGTATACAACAAATAAAATAACTATTATGCATGTGTACGTAAGTCGTCATTTTTGTTTATTTTTAGCACAGACTTTTTAGTCAGTAATTTTTAGACAATTCAGAGTTTTATAATCAAATAGCCAGGGAGTCTGTTTCAATGTAAATAACTACTAATTAGTTAATTAATTTAATATTCTAATTAATATTAAGTTCATTTTTTTGGGGGTAGTAATAAGATTTTAAGATTGTTTGGGTACCGAGTATATTTGGGTAGGTCAAATGGACTCAACAATAAGGTTTGTACATAAATTAACTAGGAGATGGCGCTGCAATCGCTCGTTGACTTTCCGTAACAGATGTGTATCTTGTCATAACACAGTGCACTATTGTTCGTTTCCAGTCCTGTTAATCATAGTCCGTGATAGGGACTAATCAATTAACTAAACCACGAACCACACATGGATCACCAGACACTGAACGTCTGAACTTATTGCCTATTGGTATGTCTTGTTATGGCAGACTTAAAAATTAAATGAGGTTTCCAACCAGTCACATATAATTTTATTTTTCCAAATTACAAAGGCAAAAGATTAGTAGAAAGTGGACATTTAATTAACCTCGAAGAAATAAAACCGGCTACTAATCATATTGCACCTAGAATAAAAGGACTATGTACAAGGCAAACTTCTGTGTCTTATGATCCATGGACTATTCTTGAGGTAAGTTAAATCAACAATACAGTATTATACTTCGACTTAAAATAATTAATATGTTTATACTTGGTAGGAAGATAATGTACACATTTTTCAGACTATTTATTTTAATTGTATGACAAATTCACTGCTGTAAAGTATTTGAATTCATGTGTCTTAGATTTTTTGTATATTGAAGTGTTATCTTCTTCTTTATTTTTTATATATTATTTAGATTGATGGAACTAGAAGAGTGCAGGAGGAAAATGCAAACACATATGTGCATTAATTTACTACATTAATAATGAGCAACTAATTTCTAAAACAGGCTTGCCCCAACAATGAGGAAAACTTTCCAAGGCTGGAGAATTGAAGTATAAGAAAGGTAGAACAATTCAAGACTTATTCCCATGTAAAAGGCAAAAACAT